GGCTGCTGCCTAATGCCATACCCTCAGTCAATGTAGCAACAATCCTTTGCAGCAGCAGGCTATATGATAGTCGATGTACTGAAGCCCCTGGCAGCTGGCTATTTCAGTGTGATTTAGAAAGACTTATCTATACTTGCATTTATGGTTATATATATATATATATATATATATTATATATATATATATATATATATATATATATATATATATATATATATATATATATATATATATATATATATATATATATATATATATATATATTTGACACTATTTAAGTTATTAAAAATGAACCAAAAACGGAAATGACTTGAAACTTTCCAGAAATGTGAAATACTATCATATAGTTTAGTATGTAAAAGTTACAGCATTAAAGTCTTCAACTTTTTTCAAAAATTAACTCTAAGTAGCGTGACTGTGGTAACGCTTACTTTTTACCACTTCTGAACAAAACAACTTTGTCAGATTAAATGCAGCGAATGGCATGGTAAAAAAAAAAAATCCTTTGGTGTGTGTTTTTATCACATATTGATGTTATTATATGCTGAGTTTCATAGTTTTCACTTGAAGTTTTACAAGCTTTTTTGTGTTTTTGTTGTTGTGATGATTGTAAGGAAAAATTCAATGCTTTAAAACAACAAATATAACAACACAATCAATGATGTAAGAAAAAAAGTATAATTAGTTATTAACAGTCATTTATAATATGTTAAAAAAGTGCAACACAACATTATCAAAGTTTTCAAGTATGGATATACTGTTTGATTTTTAACACTACACAACAGGACTGTAAATAGGCGTCAAAACACATTTATACGACCCTTACAACTTTAAAACCATGCTATGGTATGATAAAATGATTTTTTTTAAATAACTTTTTTGATTAAAGTATTATAAAATAGTTGAAAAAAATAGTTTTGGAGTTTAGTACTCGGTGTAGTTAATGCCATTTACAAAATATTTGAATACTTTTATTTTGAATTAGCATGGTTATGTCCAAATGGAATTAGCATATTATGTCCAAATAAGATCTTAAAATGATATAATTTTTTTTGTTCCAGGTTTTTTTAATATTTAAAGAAACTTTTCTTTTTTTTATATAATTTTCAAAACCTTTTTACTATCCGTAAGAGTGAATCTAAAGAAGACTTTGGAGTCTTTAGATCAATTCCACTCATCGGCATTAAAATGAATTTAGTTAAAATCTTTTGAAAAAGTTTCTTAATTTACTACTAATCCTAGTTCTAATCGGTTCTGATGTATATTAACTACATGTAGTTGTCGAAACATAATATTTTTATCAATTTTCACAAAAAATACTAGAATTCCGACCAAGAAAGAGCTTATAATTATGGAAAATTGCCAATAACCAATCAGAACAGATCATATTGTTAAACTATAATGTTCATTTCACCTAAAAGACATATTAATATAAAATTTTATTCAAATTTGGACAAGCGATTGTGATTTTAAGATTTAAAAAAAAAAAAGAATCTTCAATTTGGGTTTTTTCGCTACAAACATTTATATTTTTTGATACCGCAAAATTTATCATTTTAAAATTTTGGGTCTTTTCATAATTCACAGACCAGACTATTTAACGGAAATACGTCGTAGTCAACAAAATATCATACAGACGCTATAATATTTTAAAAGTGTCTTAATTTTTATTTATTTTATTTTATTTTAATTCATCTCCTCAAGGCCGAGAAGGCCACTACAGATGAGGAGGCTACTTATTTGTGGTTATAACCCTCTCTCAACTCTATAACTCTGAAACACGAACCTTGACAAGCAAGGGTGCTGCGCGGAAAAACGAGTTGAGCGGGGTACTACCAGGGATGTGTTGGGGATCAAACTTGGAATCACTCGTTTATGAAGCGAGCGCTCTACCACTACACCACTACCGCAAAAATTACACTGAGTATGTGTTTTCATTACTTTTTCGCTTTTTTTTTTCCCTCTCTCGCAGAATTGCCCATATATATATATATATATATATATATATATATATATATATATATATATATATATATATATATATATATATATATATATATATATATATATATATATATATATACTCTTGCATGGTAGTCAAAAAGAGTTTCCCATAAACTGTAGTTTTAAAGAGCGCATAAATAAACCAGACCAGAAAAAGTTTAAAAACTTAATTTTTTTTTTTTTTTAAATGATAGACTGCCTGCCCAAACCAAACCCTCAGTCGATGTAGCAGCACTCCCTTGCGAGTCAGGCTATTTATCAGTCGTTGTAGCAGGACTCCCTTGCGAATCAGGCTATTTGTCAGTCGATGTAGCAGCACTCCCTTGCGAGTCAGGCTATTTGTCAGTCGATGTAGCAGCACTCCGTTGCGAGTCAGGCTATAAGATAGTCGATGTAGAAACACTCCCTTGTAGCAGCAGGCTATAAGATAGTCGATGTAGCAACATTTACGCATGTTTTAAAAATGTTTTTTAATAAAACAAAAACAAAAACACCATTAATTAAAAAAAACTTTTTAGTCGTTATTATTGCGGTTTTTTAAAAATGTTTTGAAAAACAATAAAAAGTTTTATATCTTTACTCTTGAGTGCCGAATACAACAGGGGGTAAGAATAAACAGGTGGGTGGGAATTTTAGTCAAAATCTAATAAATGTGGGGAGGGGGGTCAATATAGGGCGGGGGGACTTTTTTAAACAGGGGGGCATTGAGCATGCCCCCCCCCCCCCCCCCCCCGTTTATTCGACATGCAAATTATGCATGTTCAAGTCGAATGCGCATTTGACTTGCGGTCAAAAGCGCATTTTCTAACAGCTGTTAGGGTAGGGTTAGGTTGTTTTATCATAATTTTAATAGGATTTAATAAGCTGATACAAGTTTTAAACTTTGCAAAGTATAAAACTTATATTCAGCATATTAAATCCTATAATTAAAACCAAAACTTTGTTGAGAAATAAACTAAAAGTTCATTTTTAGCAAATCGAGATTTAATAAGTCGGCAATTTGTAAAACCATTTACACTGAAAGTTTTTCTTTTTATCGGTGACTGAAAATTATTTTCAAATTTTTAAGGCCGATTTTTACTGAATTTTTTTTTTTACTTTTGAGATATATAATTTTTTTTGTTGATATCAAGTAAAAATTAATAAACAGGGGGGAGGGGGGGACTCGAGAGTACATTTTCTAAGTCTGTAGTGTCCAGAAGGAACTCGAGAGTACTTTTTCGTTTATTAGGAACTCGAGAGTACTTTTTCCAAGTCTGTAGTGTCCAGAAGCTCAAGTCATCTGTTTGATGACTTATGACCTACTATAAGAAAAAGATTCATGAGGTTTAATGACTTGAAACTTATTGTTTTTAAGCCCAGAGTCCTGGAGTCCTTGCTGCCATTATACCTAAGGACTCCGGGTTCAAAAAATGATTGTTCCTCTAACCTAAAAGTCTTAATTTTTTTCCTATTAGTAGTCCATAAACTTATTTATATTTTTAGAGCTCTTGGGTACCAAAAACTATGATGAAGTAATCTTTTTGTGACTTTCAAATCGGGAGTCCCAAAAAGACTCCACATCCCAAATATATATATATATATATATATATATATATATATATATATATATATATATATATATATATATATATATATATATATATATATATATATATATATATATGTATGTATATATATATATATATATATATATATATATATATATATATATATATATATATATATATATATATATATATATATATATATGTATATATATATATATATCAGGGATGTGGAGTCCCAAAAAGGACTATATATATATATATATATATATATATATATATATATATATATATATATATATATATATATATATATATATATATATATATATATATATATATATATGTATATATATATATCAGGGATGTGGAGTCCTAAAAAGGACTATATATATATATATATATATATATATATATATATATATATATATATATATATATATATATATATATTAGTGCTTGCATATATCTTTGTGAGAGTGCTTGATGAATTAAAATAAATTAAAATGATTTAAATTAAAACAGAGCTGTATTTATCAGGTGTAGGGTTATAGTTGTGAAAAATATGTAGTTTTATAATATATATATATATATATATATATATATATATATATATATATATATATATATATATATATATATACATATATATATATATATATATATATATATATATATATATTTATAGATAGATAGACAGATAGATAGATATAAGGTTGATTTAAATAAAATGTAAGTTGAAAAACATTAAATATTAAAGGTAACTTTTTGAGTTAGAAAATCTTTTTTCGCGTTATTGCAAAGTTGTTTAATAAGCACTGAGAATCCTTGCATTTTTCAATCTTTTATCCAGGTAATTAACATTTTAACTTGCTTTTCAGACTTGTAAAAATGCTTGCAATTTTCTTGCTAAAGTTTTCCAGACTTATTGCATTATATATTTTATTTATTGCATTTATATATTGCATTATTTTTAGAAGATGTATTTTATAAAAGATGTGTTATTAGTTTTTAAATATATTCACTATTTTTTTGTTGAAGCTTTGGAGACATGTATATTTATATATTTTTAATTATTAATAATTGATGTACTGTCAAAGTCTTTTTTTTTTCAAGGAGAAACTGGGAAAGTTTTAAATTAAGTGTGAAGGTTATTTTGAAGTTTTATGATTATTTAAAATTGTTTAAATAACCAAAAGTTATAAAAGTTTTTATATACTTTTTTAATTATATGTTTTTCAACTATTTTCATAAATTTTAAATAAAAACATAATAAATAATAAACTAGAATAAATTTTTTAATTTTAATTTTAACTGAAGATTGTTAGTATTGGTGGAATCATGTATTTTAAATAAAGGAAACAGTTTCATTAATTAAGAATTTGTTCTTAAACAAAATACTAATCATTTTCTTGCTGAAGTTTTCAAACTTAAAAATCTATATATTGCTTAATTTTTAGAAGATGTATTGTAAAAAAGATATGCTGTCAGTTTATTTTTTTTAAAGGAAAAACTGATGTAGAGCATGGAACAAGAAAGTGTTGCTATTGCAAAATATGATTACACTGCCGCTGGTGATGGAGAACTCACAATTCGCAAAAATGAAAAACTTGTAGTCATTGATGATAGTCAACCATGGTGGAAAGTTCAAAATGAAAAATCTGTTTCAGGTTATGTACCTTCTAATTACCTTGCACGTAAAGATTCTAACAAAGGTAAAAAAAATATTATTGATAATCTTAAAAGCAAAGTACTTAAAAATAAAAGAACTTCCATTGACCCCTTTGATTCAGTGACTGATGTACAAAACATCAAGTCAAAATCTGGAGCTAAAGTTTTAATGGTTGCCTTCTCCAAGTTTAAGTATACTCCTCAAAGAGACGACGAGTTAGAATTAAATCGAGGTGATCAAGTTTTAGTTATTGAAATGGAACATGATGGATGGTGTCGTGGAGAATGTAATGGAAAAGTTGGGTGGTTTCCATTTAATTACATTCAAAAAGTTGAATCAAGCGATGGCTCAACTTCTGAATATGCTGACCCATCGGATGTGATGGACAAGCCAATTATAAGTAAAGTTCGAACTTTGTATCCATTTAAATCACAATCAAAAGAAGAATTATCTTTTGACAAAGACATTATTCTAGAAATTATTGATAAACCAAAAGATGACCCTGACTGGTGGCGTGCTCGAAAATCAAATGGTGAAATCGGATTGGTTCCTAGAAATTATGTAGAAGAAATAGTTTCACCAGTTCTAACACCAGGTCCTACTAAACCCAAACATAGCATATCATCGCTTAACACAAACCCTCCGATAGTAAAGGATGAAACACCAGATTGTATATTTCGAGATAAAGATTGGTATCATGGTACTTTGTCACGTTCAGAGTGTGAATTTTTATTAAATGAACATGCAAAAGATGGTGAATACCTGATTCGAAACAGTGAGAGCAAGGTAATTGTTTTTAATTTTTATTAAGTTTGTGGAAATTAAAATTTTTGGTTGGATCAAAGCATCTCTCAATTTGATATATAAACAAAATAGTCAATTAAATCAGTAATGTAATTTTAAAAAAGTTTTACAAATTATATTATTTTCAGCTTCTTTTTTTTTGGTTTATCTTGAATAAAAAAATTTTTTTGTTAAATAAAAGTTATGAAAACACATTATTATTAAAAATATATAAACACATTATTATTAAAGATATATAACATATAAATAGAAAATGCAAAAAAGCATTCTTAGTAAAAATGTAATCCATAGAATAAGTAGTAAAAGTTTCTGGTAATATAAAATGAAATAAATTTAATAGTCGCAGGGATTAAATTAACTCAAATTTGACCAATTGCAAATTTAATATGCAAATGAAAAAGCACTGGCTCGATGGTCATTATTAGGTTGGCTTGCACAATTTTAAAAATTATTAATTTGTTTTTATTTGCTATTTAAACTAAGAACAAAAAAAAATAGAATAAAATATGCTTTAGATAAATTCTAAATTAAGTAAAATTAAGTAGTTAAAATAAAAATGGCAAAACAAATGTTTTTTTGTTTTAATTCTAAACAAAAAAAAGTTTCATAAAAACGGCAAAAATGAAAGTTTTATTCAAATATTAGATAAAATAATTATTATAAAAACAGCAAAATGAACTATTTATTTATTATTATGAATATTAAAATAATTTGTACAATTTTTAAAATTAAATTGGTAAAATAATTTGTAAAAAATAATTTGTAAATTTTTTTAAGCGTGTTATAATAATTTTTTTTGTCAAGCCTTTTTTAAGCGGTTGCCAAAAGTATTTGTGTATGTGCAGGCAAGCGCAAAAAGGCTAGATTGCAAAATTGTAGGCCAAATGGAGAAGACTGATCACACCCTGTCCAATTCAAGATCAACCTCATCTGAAAGTACCAAAAAAAATCCTTCTATGGAAGCATTATATAGACCTTATGAATACATTTAGAGATGTATTTAAAATCTTTTATTTTTGTCAGAGCCAGATTTTTGCATTGTAACTGGTAGATTTTGGATTTTTTGTTTTCGGAACTTCCAATCATTAACTCAAAACTTTTTTAACAAGATAAAATAAAATGAGAATGGTTTACAAAAAATTACAGCAATCAGAACTTAGGTGGGAGGGGAATTACCCTAATAATTTTTTCCTCTTGACCCCAGTCAAGGAAAACATTTTTGTAAAAAAATATGTTATTTTATAGTAAACCAAATTGGTGTCAATTATACCTGATCCGATATCTGCTAATCGCCAGAATCAAAGTTAGATAGTAAAAATTTTTTTCTATGCCTACAAGCAGAAACTGATTCACTTTTTTTGTTAAGTAGTAATTGACTATCAAAAGTCATAATAAAATACTTTTCATTGATGCAAAGGTTATACTTTTATGTAGATGGGTTATAAGATTGGCATCTTTTAATTATGTTCTACTTAATTATAGGCATGTTACCTGCGTCTTTATGTTTCCAGATCTCCTTAGAAAGTTCCGTATCATTCCTATACCTGGTTGCGTTTAATGATTTAAGGTGGTTTTAAAATCTGAGCTTAAATTTGTTTTCACTAATTCCGATTTAGGATTTTTCTTTAAGACTGGGATTAGGTGATTCTAAATTGGCTTTATATACAACTTTTTCTGATAGACATTGATTATTTAATGCGCATTGATTATTTAATGCAGCTGTTACTAATTTTTATTGTGTTTCTGTTGAATATTTTGTGGAGCTTATGATGTAATGGAAAATGCAATTCAATTAAGTTTAAGAAAAGGTGTCCAATTTTTGTTACCACATTTTTACTGTAAGGAGGATTAAACCGTATAATATTTCTTTTTCGTTTATTAGTAACAGAAGGATTTAGATTTGAATGATATTAGAGATTGGTGTTAAATGTTGTGCACATCTGGACTGGTAGCTTTAATTTTTCAGTTCATGTAGTATCTTTGTGGCTTTGTGCTGTATTTTCTCATTAACTTGTTTGTTTTTACCAAATGAGGTTCCAACCCGGAATTGTGAATCCAAATAGAGGACGTACATAGGTGGAATATAATTTTTTCCAAACAGAAACATCACAACATTGGAAGGTATGTTTTAAAATACCAAGCATTTAATTTGCTTTACATGAAACAATAATTGATTGGTTTTCTACTTCAAGGTCATTTGTAATTTGGATTCCTAAGTCACGCTCAGAGGTGATTTTTTCCAATGTATTTTAGGTTATTATTGAATGTGAGCTTATTTCTTTAATTGAGTGTTTGAAGAGAGTTGTTAATCTTTCAAAAAAAAATTTTTTTCAAGTATTTTTAAGTAACAAAACAAACGGTTGTCTCTTTAATAAATTTTTTATAAGAATAAGTAAAGTTGCAAAAAGCTAAGCAAAATAAAATATAACAATAAAATGCAGACGACTGATCAAGAGGACTGGTTACCGCATATTTTTTGCTAACTTTGCAAAGATGACGCGATTCTGACAATTCTTGACAAAGTTCTACAAGTATCTAGTATTTGACTTTGTTTAACTTCAATTGGTGAAGTTAAATGAACTTTGCCAGTGCTTAAGAACTAGCGAATAGTGTTTTTATTAAATGAATAGCAAATAGCAAATAATAGTTTGTTAAACATTGGTACCAAAGTTTTGCAAATATTCATAATTCAACTTGGATTAACTTCAATTAGCAAAGTTAAACAAACATCGTCAGTGCTTATTTCTGACAAAAAAGACAAAAAAGAGCTATTTAAATGGATCCCAAACTCCCAACACATGTTGTGTTCATATTAAAGATAATGTTAAAAAAAAGGTTTGAACCAAGTTTTTTTGATTAAAAATAAATAATGAGTGCATACCAAGAAAAACTAATGTTGTTGTTTTAGCTGAAGCTCTCTCTCTCTCCATTTTATTCAATAACATTAAGTCTTTAAATTATACGTTGCAATCTACAGACTTCGGCAATTCCTTTGAAGCGCGTATAATTCATAAAAGTTTTAGTATTTGACGTCACGGTAGACTTTTAACAAATGAAACTATGGAAATTTCTTTATATATTTTTATTCAAAATTTTTTTGATTATTTGTTTAGTTTTTTTTTTCTATTTTTAACATTTAAAAAGATATTAAAAACTTCAAATATTTTAATCTGGTTCGTTGCTATAAATTGTTATTGCGCCATATATTTAATGTTTATAAATTACGAATATTTATTATCTTAAAGGGACTACCAAGTCCCGAGACATATTGTGTTCATATTAAAGAGAATGTTAAAAAAAAACCGTCTGAGCAAATTTTTTTTGATTAAAACTAATTAATAAATGTATACCAAGAAAAACAAATCTTGTTGTTTTAGTCGAAGCTTGTCTTCTTCGTTTTCTCTGGTCTTTTGAGTATCTAAAATAAACGCGATTTTCCAGGCGCATTATACAGAATTGATAATTTATTCAAGCGCGTTTAATTCATAGGAGTTTTAGTGCATGGCGTCTTAAATTTTTTTTTTGTTTAAAACACCGATTGTTATTTTTTACATACAATTTCCAAATCATATTCATTTTTATTATATTTTAAAGTTCTAAAATGTGTTTGTAAAACAAAATTAAAAACAAAATAAAATTAAAAACAAAAATAAAATAAAAAACAAAATAGTATTTTATTTGCGCAACTTTTTTTAAAAAATCGTCTAGACCATGTGTATTTTGATTTCTTTTGTTATAAGTTTTTCTTTCAAAATATTAGATAAAATAATTTTTAACCTAAATAATAATGCACTTTTATTAATTCACTTTGTAACTATTAAAAAAAAAGTTATTAACGCATTTATTCTCTGATTTTCAAAAATGTATTTTTTGGTATTGAGGTGATCTTATTTCATTATTTATATTTTCATTATAACATCCAGTATATATTATGGCGGGGGGGGGGGGGGGTTGCTTAAAAATTATAAAATTAATATATATTATTTTTTATTTTACAGACATACATGGAAACATAATTAACTTGAATGTTCTTAAAACATCTTGCGGAAGAATAAAAAGAATATTCGCAAACACTAAAAACCCGCCAAATTTGCGAACAAACTAATTCTATTGGTTCAAAAAACACGCTGACTAAGCAAAATAAATTTCTAGAGTATTTTGTTGAAATGTTTTAGGAATTGTATTATTTACGATTTGTTGCGTTTTGAGATATCTAGCATAAATTTTTTTAAGAATATATATTATCAAATAAACTATTACTTTAATATTATTCTCAGAGCCACATCTGTAAAGCCGTAAAACTTTTAAACTATTATCATTTGTTTACAAAAATAAATGTTTTATAATATATATTTTTTAAATTGTCAAAATTTTGAAAGTTAATTACAAATTATATATTTTATTAGTATATTCTTAATTTTTATATCTTTTCTTAGTGCTTGGTTTAATTAATTGTTTGTTAGATTTGTAAAAAACTAATGAACAATTAATAAAATAAACTTTTAATAAAATAAGTAATTATAGTTAGCTATTTGAGTAAAATTTAATAGTAAAATTTTTAAAGAATTTCTAGAATGTTTCCAATGATGTCATGCTCTAAAACTCCTATGAATTAAACGCGCTTGAATAAATTATCAAGTCTGTATAATGCGCCTGGAAAATCATGTTTATTTTACATACTCAAAATACCAGAGAAAACAGAGAAGACAAGCTTAACTAAAAAAACAAGATTTGTTTTTCTTGGTATACATTTATTAATTAGTTTTAATCAAAAAAAAATTTGCTCAGACGTTTTTATTAACATTCTCTTCAATATGAACACAACATGTCTCGGGACTTGGTAGTCCCTTTAATCAAGACTGTTAAAAAATGGTTTTACATTAATTACCCATAAAAAATTAGTTACAGCATTTTTATTTGGTTAGACAATATTTTGTCTCAATTTGCTTTGCATGAAGTTCGGGAAGTCAAACAAAAAAATGTCGAAATATATTTAAAACAAATTATTTTTTAAAGTTTTTTATAACAAATGTAGGTAAAAAATGAATAACTAAATAAAAAGTTCAACATAATTAAACATCATTTCTTTATTATATCGCAACTGTAAATATTGAAATATTAACTCGAACTAAATTTACTTATTATTTAGAACAACTAAGCAATAAAAATAAAAAGCCCCTAAAATTAGGCGATATTGTGTTGTTTATTTGATAATTGTTGTTGGTAATGTTGTTTATGTTGATTATTTTCATTAATATCAAAATAGTCCCTGATTAATCTGTTAGTTGCTTTGCTCATTGTTGATTTATTTCTAATTTAATTTTATCTCTAAATATAATTTTATGTTAAGAAACAAAAGTTTTTTTATTTTATCGCGCACTCTTTTTATAAAAGAGTAGAACAAAAGTTTTGCGTAATTAAACTTCAAATGAATAAGAGTTGTATAGAATATATATATTTTTACGTCACTCGTTCTTTTTTTAGATAAGAGAAATAAAAGTTTAATAGTAACTTTTCTTTGAATATATGAGAATTGGAAAAGAAAATTGCTTGAAAATTTGAAAATTGCTTGAAAATTGTATTTGTTAATTGTATTTAAATTACTATCTATCTTGAATTATTGCCATTAATTAATGTGTTAATTATTGGGTTATTTAATAATAATTTGTCCGTATTTTTTTTAAATATTAGTTGTATAAAGCAGGCGAAAATATACGTACTTCATGTTTTTAATTTGATGGTTATAGAATATTGAACAGTAAACTTATAATAAAAATTTATAATGTTGACTTGTGTTGCTATTAATTGTATTTTTAATGCAAAACCAGGATCTCACATATCCTTTCACGAATTTTCATATCTGATACTACTGTCAACTGTATTGTTTAGTGTATTCTTGTACTTTTTTTCCATAACCTTAACAGGTTCTAATTGGTATGGAGTTGCCCACATTTTAAAAGTTTCATTATCAAAAATCAAATGTAAAATAAAATATTTCCTTTTTATCCATATCCAATTATGCAAATTTAGCAATTTAAATTAAATCAGTGTAATTTTTATAATAAAAACTTTTATAATAAAAAAAGTCATCATATATCTCTAATTAATACTGTTTATGAAAGTAATTGTTAATAGATACTTTTTTTTGACGGGAAAACAAAAAATGTCATAGCGTAAAAATAATCAGAAAAGTTAGAAAATAGTTCCCATTGTTTAAATAAAAATAAATAAGAATCAGAATATATAATACTGCACTCTCTTGCACAAAAACAAGAGACCGTATATAAAACGTTCTATATAATCTAAAATACTCGTATGAAAATCATAAGATTTAAAAGTAAAGCTTTAATATTTGTTTTCATTTAAAAACAAAAGAAATATAAGTAAGATATATAAATCTAAAAATTATTAAGATATCTGTAAAAAATAAGTTGCTCCTATAAAATAAAAATAATTTATTGTTTTTACTTTTTACAAAAATTTTTTTGCGATGTTTGGAAAAATAATACAAATAAATTTGTTTTGCTATATGTTAAAAAAATACTACATCGAACTTTTTGAATTAAAGTAGAAAAACGCAGTTTTGTGTAATTACACTTTTCATTTGTTAAAAGTCTACCCTGATGTCAAATGCTAAAACTTTTATGAATTAAACGCGCTTCAAAGGACTCACCAAAGTCTGTAGTTCAAAGGACTCACCAAAGTCTGTAGATTGCGACATATAATTTAAAGACTCTGAGTTTTTGAATAAAATGAAGAAGCTTCGGCTAAGACAACAACATTAGTTTTTCTCGGTATGCATTCATTATTTGTTTTTAATCAAAAAAACTTTGTTTAAACCTTTTTTTTAACATTGTCTTTAATATGAACACAACATGTGTTGGGAGTTTGGGATCCCTTTAAAGAAAAACAAAAGAGATCAAAATGATCATCTTTCCAAGAGAATCTTTTCATTGATTTAGTTATTTTTTCTTTTGTTTATATTACTAGTAAGAATTTTTAATAATCTTTTTTTGTTTATTTCATTAACTTAACAAAGCATTTTAAAGATAAATTATTTTTCCTTTATTATGTATTACTCTCTACAAATAAATATGTTTAAAAAAATTTTAAACAAAGCATGAAATACTGTAGAACCTCATTAACTTGGACCCTGGATATGTCGGACTTGTACTAAGTCGGACAAATTTTAAATTCTCTTGAATTCTCTATACACATCAAAAGCTTTGCTTAACTAGGACATTTGCTAAGTCGGACAAAATATATATACCTGTTCAGAATCCGAGTTAACAGGATTCTACTGTAATTTAAAAAAGAGTCAACTTATAATTTTTTAAATGCATAATTATTTACATTAATATGCTTGTTATTTCTAAAAAAGTAAAAAATAAAATTAAAATAGACATTAAATTAAATGTGCACTTTTATTAAACAATCAAAGTAAGTGTTTAATTTAAAAGGGTTTCCTATTATATTATAAAAATATAAGTAAAAATGAAAGGTTCAAAGTTATTTCAAATGTAATTAAAAACTTGATTGAAATAATCTTAACAATAAATTTTTTGGAATTTTAGTTTTAGTTAAGTTATAATTTTATTATATATATATATATATATATATATATATATATATATATATATATATATATATATATATATATATATATATATATATATATATATATATATATATATATATATATATATATATATATATATATACTCTTGCATGTCTCTTGCGTGGCATCAAAAAAAGTTTCCCATAAACTGTAGTTTTAAAGAGCGCGTTAATAAACCAGACTAGAAAAAGTTTTAAAAATTAAATTTTTTTTTTTAATTGATAGACTGCCTGGCCAAACCAAACCCTCAGTCGATGTAGCAGCACTCTCTTGCGAGTCAGGCTATTTGTCAGTCGTTGTAGCAGCACTCCCTTGCGAGTCAGGCTATTTGTCAGTCGATGTAGCAGCACTCCGTTGCGAGTCAGGCTATTTGTCAGTCGATGTAGCAGCACTCCGTTGCGAGTCAGGCTATTTGTCAGTCGATGTAGCAGCACTCCGTTGCGAGTCAGGCTATAAGATAGTCGATGTAGCAACATTTACGCATGTTTTAAAAATGTTTTTTATTAAATCAATAACAAAAACACCACTAATTAAAAAAAACTTTCTAGTCGTTATAATTGCGGTTTTTTAAAAAATTTTTAAAAAACAATTAAATTTAATGTACTTCCGCATAAATTAATTGCTTTGACATTTCGATGACAATCAAAAACAGCTTAAGAGACGAGGTAATTAAAATTGTAGTTGTAAGAGACTTTTTTTACATTAAAACGCTCTTAAAGCTACACTATATGGGTATATATATATATATATATATATATATATATATATATATATAGACTGTAGTTTTAAAGAGTGCGTTAATAAACCAGACCAGAAAAAGCTTGAAAACTTCAATAATTTTTTTTTCTTTAATGCTAGACTGCCTGCCCAAACCAAACCCTCAGTCGATGTAGCAGCACTTCCTTCCGAGTCAGGCCATTTGTCAGTCAATTAATATAGGGGGAACAAGCAAGGGAGATGCTGCTATATTGACTGAGGGATTGGGTTAGGGCAGCAGTAACTTTTTTTCATTATTCCTCTTTTTTTTTTTTTCAAAAAAAAAACTTTATTATTTATCATTATGTTTTCATGATTAATTTTATAAATTGTTAGTGAAGTTTATTTTTTTATTTCAGCCCGGAGATTTTTCACTATCGATGAAAGCTCCCAATCGAATCAAACATTTTAAAATTCTTTATGGAAACAACCAATATGTAATCGGTCAACGCTCTTTTAGTAATATTGACGAGTTGCTGTCTCACTACAAAAATTATCCTATTTATACAACAGAAAATGGCCAAAAAATGCATCTTTTATATCCTCTAAATAAGTCATTTACAAGAAATGGTGTTCGATAGGGGTTTTAACAATAATGCTTTTTAAAACTTTTCCATATTTAACCAGTTCTTTATTTGTGTGCAATTTTTTAGTAACTTTCACAAAGATATTGTCATAGCTGCCAAACGATGTTATGAAAATATAGAATGTAGTTGTCATAACCCAAATGTAATAAAAACATTACACAAAATTTTTCCTTATTGTTAAAGTGTTTAAAAAAGCGTTATTTAACTTCACTTTTTTGGAATTGATTTTTGAAGATATGGATTTTTCTAATTATTATTGTTTGTTATTTAAACAATATGAAATGATTTATTCTCTAGTTAATGTTGAGTGTTTTTCTGTTTTGAATTTAATGTTATATAGTTTGTTATATATATATATATATATATATATATATATATATATATATATATATATATATATATATATATATATATATATATATATATATATATATATATATATATATATATATATATATATATATATATATATATATATATATGTAATACATTGTTTGTATGTTATACATTTATATATACGTACGATTTTTTATTTCTTTTAATTGCATACTGTTTGCTTACAATTGCCTCATTTTTTATATCTTTTAAAAAGATACTTTGAAATAAAGTTTAATATTTCTTTTAAACGTTTAAATATTTTATTTTTTACAAACTTTAGTATTTGCTTAAAGCAATTTCTTGCACAAGTTTTCTTGCGAAAACTTGTTATTTTGTATAAGTGTTTGTACAAATTCTCGTTATATATTTTTGTTTATATGTTGGTGCTTAGTTTAAACTTTTATTTTTCTAAACTTAGTAAACAAAAAGAGATTTTGTAAATAACTGAATAATTTTAATCAGTTTTTTTTGTTTCCTCCTTTCTTGTAGTTTCCTCCTTGGGCTCATCTTTTTCAGTTCCTCTGAAATTAGAATATGAAAAAAAAATTTACTTAATACCAGTGAACAAAGTGTATTCCGTTTAAAAAAAATTTATTTAAATTTTTTTAGTTCATTCACAGGCAATTTTAAAATATTAAAATGATTGATAATATTAATGCTTTCTATTTTTTTTATTTTTTGAAAACAGTCTTTAGATTTTTAATTCTTTGACTCCATTGAAATTCAAATGTGCTAAATACAATTTTTGTCCTAAAATAAATAAACTTAATTTTGATTAAATTAAAATAGGAACTAATGAAGAATAGACTAATAGAAGAAATAAAATTTTCATCTTCAACAGAGAACTTTTTAATTTTTTAAAACGAGGTTGGTACTTGTTTCATTTAAAACATAGCCTTAATCTATTATATAATAAAATTCTAAGTTTTTTAAGATTTTTATAAACTGCAAATGTTTACTCTTTTTCTTTTATTTTAAATTAATACAGTTGTCTATTTCTTCTCGACAGTTAAATATAGAAAGGGGCTGTTCATTAATTACGTCAACAATTTTTTTGAAATTTTTACCTCCCCCTTTACAAAAGAGCTACGCTACAAACTCAGCTTTATTTTTCGTTATTTAAGCAATGAAATTCAAAAAAAAAAAAACAGTTGACATTAAACTTAATGGAACTTCCCCTCCCCCTCGTCAATAATTGTCAAAAAAGTTCAGACCCCCTCCCCCTATTTTGTTGACGAAATTAATGGAAAACCCCAAAGGTTAAAAAAACCAACCCTTATTAGAGCTCTAACTGTATCTACAAAACCATAGCTATATAAAACGCATTGCGTTCCAGCCAATATGGCAATTTTTGAAAACTGTTTTGATTTTAACAAACACACGTTTTTAACAAACACACTTGTTTTCACGGAATGTTTTACAGAAAAACTTGTAATACTAATACAAACTGCTGTAACGACTATTGTCGCAGAACATAAATTTTAAAATTTATACTTTAACAGCCGTTAACAAATGTTTATCTAGTCTAGCTTTAAAAGAATTTACTGTCATTGCAGAAACCGCTTTTTCAGGTAAAGTATTCCAATGAGGTATCACTCTGTTCGTAAAAAAATTATGTCTCTGGATTGTCTTTGCAAATTTTCTTTCAAATTTCATTGGATGACCTCTTAGACTTTGGGAAAAAGCTTTATTAAGCTCTTTATACCATAATATCTTAACCCAGTTGTCAATTTGAAAAACGCAATGAGATGACCTCTTGTACGTTTTGTTTCCAGAGTTGTGAGACCCAACTTTATCAATCTTTCAGTATAACTTAAATGTTTTAGTTCAGGTACTAGCTTTGTTGCTCGTCTTTGAACTTTTTCTAGGTCATTGATATTGTTTTATTACTTGGACTCCACATTAGAGCTGCGAATTCCAGGTGCTGTCTAACCGGCGATGTGTGTTATTGCCTTACCATTTCAGTGTTAAGATAAGTAAAGCTTTTTCTTATTAAACATAAGATTCTTTGTGCTTTACTTGTAGTTACTTGAACCTGATAATTCCATTTCATATTGGATGAAACTATTACACCTAAGTCTAGTTCTTTTGTTCTTGTTTTTAAAAGTAAACTTTGATTGTCGTGCTTCATAGTAAAGTTATAGTTAATACTTTTTCTTCCAACTTGTAATACTAATACAAACTGCTGTAATCTTCCAATGTGCATAACACTGCATTTACTTATGTTAAAGTCCATTAACCATTTGACCATTCAGTTAACAAATAAATGTCATTTTGCATATTAATTAGATCGTTATGTTCTTTTATAACAGATATAATTTTAGTGTCATTATATTATTAATTAGATCGTTATGTTCTTTTATAACAGATATAATTTTAGTATCATCAGCGTATAGTTTTGAAATTGAAGAGATACATTAGGGAAGTTCATTTATATATAACAGAAAAAGAAGAGAACCCAATACAAGGCCTTGTGACACACCACTATAAACTTCGCACCAATCTGATACAACTTCACCCATTACCATTCTTTGTATTTTGTTTTTTAAAAATGAATCAATCCAATCTAAAACATTTCCTTTTATTCCATAGTTAGAAATTTTATGTGTAAGTCAATAGTTCAATTTCAATTATACCTTTTAAAAGCTCTATTATTATATAAAATATATGGATTAACAACTAATGGACTAATAACTAAACATAAATGATTTGATGGTGATTTCATAAAATTAAACTGAACATAAAGTTAGAATTTAATCGTTTTTGAATTTTTCCCTCAAAATCTGGACTTAACTACTTATAATATCTAAAGTAAAAAAACAGTATTTTAAGAAAAGTTCTCATATTTAATGTCACTAAAAGAAACCTTACTAAAAAAAATCTCGACAATTTAAAAAATAAACTATTTGAGGAGTCCTGGAAAAATGTATGCTCAGCTAAGGATCAAAATCAGGCATTTAATAACTTTACGGCTACTTTTAAATGTATTTTTGATACTGTCTGTCCCATGGTAACATCTGAAGTAAAAAAATATAAAGTTAAAAAATCCATGGATGACGAATAATCTTATAAAATCGTCTAAACGAAAGCAAAAACTTTATATAAAATTTTTGAAATCAAAGGATAAAGGTGATGAAAAAACATACAAAGCCTATAAACAGTTTTTTCAAAAAAATATTAGACAAGCTAAAGTAATGTATTATTCTAATCTGCTAAATAAAAATAAGTTAGACAAAAAAAAACATGGTCGATTATAAATGAAGTAACTGGCAGAGAAAAAAAGAAATCCTTTAGCATACCTCAAAAAATATTTTGTGATAATAAATACATTACAAATAAATCAGATAATTACCATGAATTTAACAAACACTTTGAAAATCTTGGTCCCAGTCTAGCTTCAAAAATAGTGATGCCAAATAAGAAGTTTAATGAATTTATTGGAAAAAAAACCCTACCGTGTATATCAAATGAAAAAATATCCTATAAAGAATTTAACAAAGCTCTGACTGAACTAAAGCAAAATAAGTCATGCGGATATGATGACATTACTAGTAATGTAGCAATACACGTCATTGAATGTATTAGAAAACCCTTATTTCATCTAATATCGTCTTCTTTTGAACACAGTACTTTTCCTGATATGTTAAAAATTGCTAAAGTCAATTCTGTTTATAAAAATGGAGATTGTAATAGTATGTCTAACTACCGTCCAATATCCCTCTTACCAGTGTTCTCTAAAGTTTATGAAAAAGTAATATACAATCGAATTTATAATTACTTGAAGTTAAACAAACTTTTATATAAAAATCAATTTGGTTTTCAAAAAAGATGCTCAACAGAACATGTTATCATTGAACTTACTAATAAAATATTTTTGATAAAGGGGATCATGTATTGGGAGTATTTATAGACCTTACAAAGGCATTTGATACAGTTGACCACAACATCTTACTATCAAAATTAAAGCATTATGGTATAAAAGGACTAATGTATAAATGGGTAAAAAGCTATCTGAGTAACAGAAAGCAGTTTGTAATAAACAAAGAATCAAGTGTTCTTGATATTGAGTGTGGGGTTCCTCAAGGCTCAATCTTAGGACCGTTATTGTTTTTATATGACTTTGTATACAAAAGATTTAAGTCTTCAAAAGCCTGAATATTATTAGCCCATTAATTGTTAATAAACATTTTTTGTTTAGGTTCACCTTTTTGGACACATTTGTCTTTTTAACACTAGTATTTTTATATAAAAGAGTTTAGTATATGGTATAAAATTAGCTTAACTTCATTAAATACCATTTATTAGTTGTTTATAGTTATTTAATGGTAATGATAATTAATTAGAATTAAGCAAAGTTTGCAAGTGGTAAATAAATTTTTATTTAATTAAAGTTTATTTATAAATTTACTCTTGATACTTAGTAACTATTAAATTTACAGATAGAGTTTATAATGCCTTACTTAACATCGAAGAAAGGAAGGAGATTTAAGTTTAAGGTGGTACTACCCTACATTTTTTATTTTTCAAAATATGGTATTTTTCTTAAAATGATAAACATTTTTTGATAGTATTTAAAAAACTGAGTATAAAAAACATCATTTTTTTACTTCATTGTCACAAAAAATTGTGTCATCAAAAAAAAGCAAAAAACATGCGGTCACAAGAACATAAACAACTTGAGTAAAATTTGAAATAAAAGCTTTTACAAACTTATTATATATTATTTTACAAACATATAGCTAAAAGGTTGGTGGAGAAACCCTAGTAGAATTTTTTATAAATACATAGCTAAAGTAAAATAGCAGATATTAACCTGTAAAAATAGTTAAAATTGGTTCGTGGGGTACGTAAAGTTTTAAATTCTGATCGATATAAAAAGTATTTTTTGATTATTCTACTACCAGCCTTTTCTACAACATTAATGAACAAACTGTGAAAATTTCATAGAAAAAGAGTAAATAGTTTCTGAGATATCCAGTGTTCTATATCTATGTTCTAGTTTTAAAATATTTGAAAAATATTATTCTGAGAAAAACAGCTTTAAAAATAAAAAATTTCATAAACTAAAAAAATCTCTAATTAAAAAACATACAAACTGTATGTTTTTAAATTAGAGAACAAAGTACAACAATATAAAAAGTACAATTGGCTGGAGCAAGAAGATGGCATTAAATAGCCTTATCACCAAGCCCAATAGTAACGCAAAGAAAATAGTTTGTGAATCATTATAATAATGAATCTTTTTTATTCATTATTGTAATAAGAAACAATTTGTAGGGCCACTGATTACAACAAAACCTTATTTAGTAATTTCTTAGTACCTACAACAAATTGCATTTATTATAATGAGTTTTTTTCTAATTTATCTTGCTAATCTTTTTAACTCAACCGAACTTGCAATTTATTAAATTTGTACGCAAAACCTCATTTATTCAGCTTGTACGCAAAACCTCCATTTCTCTTGAAAATGCACCTAACTTTCTCAATGGAAAATACTTTTGAATACCTCTTTTTATTTTTTTTTTTGCTTTTATGTTTTGTCGTATAGATATATAAATATAACTGATATTTCAATATAAATATAGATGACTGGAGCATCAAGAAGACGCAACTCGTCTTATCATCCCAAGCTCCGAGAATTGATTTTCATATAAGATAAAAATTACGTAGGTCTTATATAATTTTTACCAATATACATAAAAATAAGACTTTCTTTTTAAAAAAAAAAAGTTACGAACGGATAAAAAAACAGAAAAAGAAAAAAAAAAAAAAAAAAATTAATTTTAAAACAATGAAAATAAAATAAATTTTAATCAATTTTATTTAATGATCCATTTTTAAAAAATATACCAAACAATATTTGTTAAAATTGATTTAAAATAATTCGTAAAAAAAGTGAAATAGCAAGTTCGTGGAAAAAATAAATAAATAAATATATAAAAATAAATAAATAAATATATAAAAATAAATAAATAAATATATAAAAATAAACTTGCCCAACATAACTTGCGATCAAAGTTATACGTTATAACTTTCCTTTAAAATACAAAGTTACAAATAAAAAACCAAAAAAGATGTAAATTAATTCAGATTAAATACTAATTAAAATTATTAGTCAAAAGCAAAACCATTAAAAACCTGAATCCATATCAAAAATTTTTAAATGATCTTTTGATCAAAAAATTTAAAAATTTTTGATATTAAATTTACTTTGATTATTAAAAATTGATTTTGATTTGATTTTGAGCAAAATAGATTTTGATTTTACTTTGATTATTAAGAATTGATTATCAAAAATTTTTGATATTGGAATATTTTCCAAAATAATTATGCTGGATCCAAGATTTTTGCGAATAAAATTTTTTTAGGGATCACTACTCATAATCCACTTAGATATTTGGGCACCCGACTTTTTTTCTTAAAAACACAGAGGTTTTAAAAAAGTAGCAAAAGTGCTCATAATATTTATATTATAAGTATTATTTCTTTCTGGTATTGTAATAAATTTGTTTTTTTAAAAAAAGGCTCTGGCAACAAAATCATTAGGAACTAATTTTTTCACCTAGATTTTGGATTTGAAATTCTACGGATTTTACATGTTGTAAAAGATTTTATTATGTAATACGAACACACACACAAAAATCTCCTTCCCCCTTCTCATTATACGTACCTGTATGATTCCAACGCCATCTCCCCCTCTCACGTTATGGAAAAGGGGTTGATTTTCCAATAAATTATGTCTACGCACCTAGACCCCTTCTACGTACATAGACATAATTTATTGGAAAATCAACCCCCTTCCGTAACGCGAATATTTTTTAAAACATTAAAAAGCAATTTTCTTGTTTTTCTCTTCATGATTCATAAGGAAATATAAGTAACAGTTGTAACCAAAGTCAGAAAAACTGAAGCGTTACCAAAGTCAGAAAAAAACATCGTGTTTATATCACGCGAGGAAATAATAACTTTCTATCGGTATTAGATTAACAGGGTTTTTAAGTACAGTATCGGACAAAACAAGTGCTACCAAATAATGCTAATTTAGTTTCTTTATATAAAAGTGCTGCATTTTTTCAATTTAGAGAAATAACAATGTAACTGTTTAGAGACAACTTTCTTCAAGTTTTATTCATCAAAAAGTTCATTATTTGTACACGATAATTAATAAATTTATCAAAAGTATTAAAAAAAAGTTGATTTCCTTTTGGACAAAACAAGTGCAACTCTACAAAATGTTGACCAAACTGTATTTCGCTATCAATATTTTGTGGCGAATCCTTTGTT